GATCTCGGATATGTTCTATGCGTATTCAGACTGATTCAGTAACAAGACAGGTCTGCATATCTTGATGAAGAGATTTGCATTTAATTGGCAGAGCATGTTCCCTCTCAGGATACTGTTTCATTAAAGATAATTGGTAAATAGGCTGGAAATTAGCAAGAATTTGTTAGGGTTTTGTATTTATTTTTTGCCTTCTAATTTTAACTGCCCTATTCTTTCCTCTAGTGAGGAAAACAAACGACTTGCTTCATTTATTGATCAAAACACATACGGCTTATGTTATAGGACTATTCTAGTTCTATGAGCTTCAGATTACACATAGAGGCGTCCCTTGATTACACGTAGTTATAATCTGTACTTAGACGGGGAAACACCTGTTTGGCCGCCTTAAAGGATTTTCAGGGTTTTTTTAAATAAAGAAAACAAACACGGAACACAATCTTAATTTACAAATTTTCCGACACCACTTTGAATGTGACAGAACAAAAATAAAAAATAAAAATTATAAAACAGTATTCATTGAAATGTAGTTCTAATCTCCAATTACAAGTACAGAATTCTTGCATTAGAAAACTATCGAAAGTGAAATATTGCATTAATACGAATTCAAGCAAACTCTCTTCTTTCACGCTGTGATGTGTCGAATTTTGAAAACTCTTAGAAGCTTTGGTTAAAGGAATTGTATCAAAGTCAACTTAATTAAAGTAGAAAGGGCTAGAGATAGTTAGATGATTATTTTCATTTCATCTCTGAACGTCAAGAGGGAATTCGTTCCACCTAACGTAACATGACTGAGTCAGATGCTATGGTAGAAGAGAATGACATAAGACCCTTTTCCAAAATCGACAGGGTAAAGGGCGGGAGCTGGCTATAGATGATTGTTCAAAGTAATGATTAATTACGGCATGATTAGTTGTCTAGTTGTCTTGTCAATCCAAAAATTCTACGGAACAGGTTTAGGATACAGTCTATTCCGATTGGTTAATATGGATTTATGAACGTAACTCTGTAAGAAATTAAAGGTTTCACTTTAGGAAAATTCTTTAGTCTACAATCTTTTTTGGAAAAGAATAGTCGAGACTCCGGGAGAGCGTGTAAGTCGCTATCTCGTGATTTGGCAGTAAAGCGGGAGTTTTGTCTCAGTGAAGTAGACAAACTCTACATTTGAATTCGTAACAAGTACATTTTGTTATTGAGTAAGGGGCCAGATAATTGTCTTATTTAGGAGACGGACTATACGTGAGGTTCGTGGAAACGAATAAAGAAAGCGGCAAAAGGTACGCAATCTTAGTTTCCCGATTTTAATATGTTATTTCATCTGTTGATCTATTTTGCAAATGTATTCTTGATATGATGTATGTATGTATGATTTCATTTTGCAGGATTTTAGTGAAATGCTAATCTTGACATTTTATTCTTTGATTTTCTTAATTATCAATTCATTTGGAGAATTGGCAAGATTGAACGTAATTAAAATTTCATTATATTAGTTGACAAGATTGAATGTAATTGAATCTTTAATACATAGGAATGGTTAGGAATTTAAATGAATTAAGCTTAAGGAATGATGGGTAAAGTTTCATAGTTTTATGGATTAATTCTGTTTAAAATGAGTATGACCTAATATTAAATGTATATCCATATACTAGTTTGTAATATTTAATTGATCACTTAAGTATATATCTATATGCTAGTTTGTGATAATTAACTGGTCGAGTAAACTATTTTAGAATAGTTAGAGCTTAGGGTCTAAGCCATATGTAACTTAACACTGCTAAATTGGTAGAGTAAGAAGTCAAGGGGGTTTTACACACGGGTTTATACGGCTGAGTAGAATTTAATTGACCACCCCTAGCGTGATCCGAATTAAGGTCAGGACAAGCCTTGACCATCTATGTAAACATAAGAGTTGGGGAGCAATGAGTTACTGCGGCAGAATTTATGCCTTTTGTTTTCTGAGCCGAATTAGTGTAAAAATATTGATATACTTGGGAATGTGACCCAGTGTCTATTGCGAGACATTTTATTTATCGAAGGAAACCGCTTTCCTGGATTCACATGAGAATTCCCTGAACAATCACAGGACCAAAACAAATTATACGCAGAAATCTAAGTCCAGAGACAATTGTTAAGTCGTTAAGTTCGACGGACAAGAGTCCAAGACGAAACAGCTAGACAAAGATCGACAGAGCAGGGACGAACGGAAGTCTTGATGTCCGCATAAAACAGGTGATGAAGTCTCTCATCGTTGCACTCAAAGGTCACATCTCATTGGCAACGAAGATAGTATGTTAACGTGGAAAGTAATTTTAGCTTTTAAAGAAATTTGTATTGTCTTTTTATTTGAGTACATGTTAGTACCATTTTCCTTCTTTTTGTACCCAAGTCATTGATTTCTTTTCATTTTTAATTCTGTTGATAAACTGATTAAATTTTATATTTGTTCATTGAAAGGGGGCTCGTATTATTTCTTCAATATGCTTGTTCCGTGATCTGCATTCTTCTTTCTATCTATCCACACTGGGTAAATTACACCGCGGAGGTCATTCCCTGACAACGAACCGTAGTGAAAGAGGTTGGTGTGTTTTGAACGCCGCCAATTTGTCACACACGCTTATTATTTGATCCAAATTTAAAGCTCTGTGCTAAGAACAAACTAACCGGAAATTCTATTGAGTCTTGTTAGTATTGCCAGTAAATAGTACATAATCCAAAAATTTGGCAAAGCCTTTTTGGTATGGAAAGTAAGTTCTTTACAACGAGCCTATTTTAAATAGGTGTTAACATAGTGATAAATGTGACTGCACGCATGAAATTGCGTGTTCATCCATTCAATGTCAGTGTCATTGAAGCTGAGCTACAAGCAATTTTCTGGAGTACATCATCCGAGCAATTATGAGAGAGAATGACCAAGAACACTATAGTTTAAATATAAAGTTAAACAATAAATTACACCGTCGATATAAAACTTGTGTATAAAAACTGCTTTACACCTTGGAGACAGTGCCGGATTAAACCCTCGGGGCAGTTAAACTATCGGGAGCCCCCTTGCAAATTATCTCCAATACGTCAAGACCAAATCAATTCAATTTTATTTTGATCCGTTATCGCAGGGCCCATAAAAGGGGTGGGGCCCATAGGTCGGTGCCTACTAGGCCTGTTGGGTAATCCGGCACTGCTTGGTATATGCATTTTGCTTTAAATTTGATGTATTCTACGTTCCACCACTCCCACCCACCCTCCCCACTATGTATGCACTGGAAGCGGAAAGTGCTGTTTTACTTCGTGAGGAATACATACACTGTTCTACAACCATAACACATCTTCTGTTGTTATAAATGCGAATAGAGTCATATATTGTCAGTAACACCATTCTGAATACACCATTCCAAAATAAACATACGGCACCAGTGATGTAAACATAAAATGCATATAACTTAGCCATTTCAGTCACCAATTTATGTCTAACCTGCTTGTCTCAATGAGGTCCCAAATACTGTCAACTTGTTGGCTTTTCGAGTCAAACTGGACTTTCTTTCAATATACGGTCGCCATAATTGCAGTCCCGTATATGTTTACAATAACAGATGTGATGTAGTTCACTGCCTTTAATAATCTCACTAATTCCGTACAGTTTGGAGTTACACCTCTTTAAACACGTGTATACAAAAGTTCTTCATTTTTATTTGCTCATATTTTTTTTAGATATATTAAAACTGTCGTCTGCAAATATTGTTGCAGACGACACATATTTTACTGAAATAGGCAATTCTAGATACCAGAAAAGGACAGTGAGCAGTCTGTCTGCTTGTTTACACTGACAGTTTCCGTTTAATTTGTGTTTACATTAACAGTTTCCGTTTAATCTGAAACGTGAATAAGTTGACAATATCAATGACCTCCTGGAAAACTCAGGTTAGAATCGATTGACTGAATGAAATGACTTTGGTTTTGTGTATTTTTATCCATGATTCATTTTTTTTAAATGGGGGGTACACAAAAAATGGGATAGCTGACGTCACAGCCTTATCGTAGTGGATGGCAAATATATGATACATCGGCATTGATGAATAATAAAGTCAGTTATTAAAAGAAGCCAATTTTCACATATTTTGAATTATATTGTTAAATTAGAATGTATCGGCAATATTTATTCAGAAAGTTTATTTGGTTTTGATAAATTTAAACAATAATACATCTTATCTATATTCATCCTGTAATCCTACTTGTCTGATAAATCAGCCCTCTCCCCCCAATAGGTGTTGATACTGATGGAAGATATGTGGATGTCATGTCACCTGTTTATCAAAATGTGTAAATTTGCCGTTTAAAAAATCTTTCCGGAACACACTTACGTACACTTACCGGTATTTGTTAATAGCTATATCGAGCGCAAAATTTAAAATGGCCACTGGACAGAGGTTTGTGTTATTCCACGTGGATTTACAAGTCGCCAAATAAAGGATTTGAACCGAAAATAGTATATACATATCGCAAAAAAAACTTCAACTTGACAGCCGCTAGAAGCTAGAAGTTCCGGTAAGTGTGTAAAATGTACACCGATTTGTGTTGACATGAGTGACTGAAAATTAAAGATTTTTAGTGAATAGGTGATATCAGCCCCTAAACTGTTGGTCAGTGTTATTATAGATATGTGGCTGATTTATCTGCCTGTGATCCTACCTCCCAGGTCGAAGCGGCGCCCAGTTTGCTCAGCTAAATGATGGTGATATTTGTAAGAAAGCCACTTCTTGTTTGATTATGATTGTGATTTGAATTATTTAACGTAGCTCTAACGATTTTTCAGTTATGTCGCTACGATGTCTGCAGTGTGGCAGTTTATAGTGATGTCTAGCACTGGGGCATCATGCAGCAGGCATGTAGCATGATGTCCCACCCAGTCACATTATCCTGACACCAGGCCGACCAGTCCTAACACTAACCTCTTAATGCCGAGCGCCAAGCGAGGCAGCTGTTAATACCATTTTTATAAATCTTAGGTATGACTCAACCGAGGATCGAACTCATGATCTCCTGCACCCGATGCGGACGCTCTAACCACTAGGCCATCGGAATGTCTTGTTTAAGAAGCTGTCTCCTTTTTCATTGGTTGATTGATTGATTTATATTTTTACGGCGCACCAGCACTATGTGGCTATTTAGCGCAAAGCATTAGGTTATATCCTTTTTCATTTAAAACTGGTAAAATAATTTTATCGACCAGCGATTGGAGTCCAAGCAGTTAAAGATAAAGCGATAAAAATGTGAACGATGGTAAATAATTAAAAGTTTCCCGATCAACGGGGTGTGCAAATGTATGATAACGAAAACATATGATTGGCATTTAAAATCTATCGACTGCATAAATATAACACAAAACTGAACAAGGTGATAAAATAAAAACTATAGCTTATGATAAATGTTTGCTTCCTTAAGGAAGTCTATAATGTTGGTAATGTTAACTGTATCAAAGAGCTCCCTCATGTCTTGCACAACGTAGCAATGATTACGCGTAGGTTGAAGATCGAAGCATTCCAGCATAAAGTGCTTAACGGTGAATGGTTCATTACAAGCTATGCACTCTGGTGGGTCTTCTCCTTTTAATATGTAGAAGTGTGTTAAATAAGTATGACCGAGTCGAATTCTTGCAATGTCTACCTCCTCTCTACGGACGGATCTGTAGGAAGGGGTCCATTCTCCTAAGGTTGGCTTGATGGCATGAAGTTTGTTTTTCACGGCATCACTCCATGATGCCTGCCATTTCTGACGTAAACAGTCTTTGATACAACGTTTAAAATCAGTATATGGTGCTTTAAAATCATTGGTAACAATATAAAACCTGTCATTATAAAACATGATAAATGTTTAGAAACAATGAAAAAAAATGAGCAAAATATCCTAGTAGCGATGCGAGATCCATTCGCAAGATGACTATACTCTAAATTTTATCCGTTAAAAATATAAATAACCACATCAATAGTAATTGGAGTTTTGCGAGGGGGAGTGACAACCCTATGGAAGGAATGCGAATTAAAGTTATTGTCGCCATTTTGAAAAATATGTCTATTGCGGTCGGTGACATAATGGCGTCTAAGATGTTAGCTCTTGTTATAGACTGTTATTAATAAAGACAGGGAGACATCGTTACGCTCTAAAAAAAAACAACATACTTTAGCGTAAAATAAGGTTGTAGTGTACTTTAATTTAACAAACAGTTTATGTCTGTTTTTGAAAACAATAAACGACATAAATTGTTCTTCTACATGACTGATTGATTGAGAAAGCAAAACATTCTCTCAATCGTTACAAATGTACTGGAGTGTATGTACATGTCAAAAGTAGTATCTGCAAACAAAACAGACGCTCGTGTCTTGAAAATTCGTCAAAGCAGTATGAAACAGAGATAGAAAGTCATTTGAGAAAGACGCACTGTCGCAACCTAATCTAAAATCATTTTCATATCTAACTTGCGAGAAAGTAAACTTCGAGCTAATTTCGAATGGCAGCATACACGTGTACCGTCAGATTCTCTTTAGGACGGAAGTAAAATCATATATAGTTTGATCGTGTTCTCGTGAGCAAAGGCCGAGTCGAAATTCTTAAGGTTGGAACTAACGGATGTCAATCCTTCTATTAACATCTGATATTGTTATCTTTGTCTCTGTATGGAAACTGTGTCTGAAGTATGTTACATGACTCTTAAGGCAACAAACTTTTGGTCATAGTGATAAATTATTTTAGACTCTTTACCAATGTGTTTGTTTTAAAGAAGAAAATTGATATCAGTTCATCTTGTGAAATTCAATATATTCAGCAAGCTTGTTAAATTCAAAGAGTAGAAGTATGACTGCGCACACACACACACACACACACATACACACACACAGAGTAAGAAGGCTGTCATGGCGGCCATATTAGATGTCAGATCGGAATCATTTTCATCCGAGACCAGCTAGACACCGATAGCGAGCGATAACAATATTTTCTGCACGGATGCCACAGTGGCCATATTGGATACATGAACAGTACTATTTTGAAATAGGACCAACTAGACCATGTGATAAAAGTGTGTGTTGAATGTGCGGGTATAGTTTCGTTGTTGTTGTTGGGCTTAACGCCATTTTTTAGCACACAATAGGCTATTCATGGCGGCCAGTATTAATGGTGGAGGAAGAAACCGGGAAATCACCGGAAAGAACCACCGACCCACGAGAAGCTACTGGCAAGCTTTCTCACATATCCACATTCGCCGAATCCTAGACTCGAACCCACGCAGACAGAGGTGAGATGGCAGTGATCCGTAACGGACAGCGCTTTAGACCACTCGGCCACTCGGGGCCCCTAGAGTATAGTTTCATTGCAATCTTTAAAGTAGTTCGGGAGGAGTAGCCATAGCAAACTAAATGGACGGACGGACAACAGACAACGGACTGACAACAGACAAAGACTGTCCCATAGGCATTCCTGGTCTATAGCCGGCAGAGCTTAAAGTCGTCGAAATGTCTTTATTTCGCCTTAAAGAAGCAACGGTAACTATGATGGTAGATCGCTTGACTCATAATACAAGTGTAGCAGGTTCTATACTTACTGAGGCGAGCTCTGGCCAAATACATCATTGTGTCCTTCAGAAATGGCGTTTATCTCCTGTTTTTTTTCTTAATTATATTGATTCCAAGCCTGATAAAGAATAAATTACATAAAAAATAAAATTTCATAAAGGAAATGAGCGATCCTCCTTCGACAGAAAAACAAGTACCGTATTATTATTATTATTATTATTATTATTATTATTATTATTATTATTATTATTATTATTATTATTATTATTATAATAACAATACTTCATAAACAAAGATATTGTATTTGGTTATGAAACACAACTTCTATGATATGGTTATAAATAAGATCACCGACACACACAGACACACACACAAACTCAAACTCTCTCTCTCTCTCTCTCTCTCTCTCTCTCTCTCTCTCTCTCTCTCTCTCTCTCTCTCTCTCTCTCTCTCTCTCTCTCTCTCTCTCTCTCTCTCTCAGTCAGACATGTTTTACCGTATCACAAAAATTGACAGCCTGCATCAGCTTAACAAGAATATTTGAAAACATATTTTAAGACATACTTGTTGCCCGGATACAATGAATAGTGAACAATACATAGTAATTTACACTTATCGTGTCACCAACTGCTACAAAGAAAAATTAGCCTAGTATTTATCTCTAACATGCTTCATTTATCTCCTAGTTGGTCTATTTATCGTACCTTTGTTTATCTCAAACTGAGCGACATACCTCATTGTCACATCTCACACTTCACAGTCATGTACAAAGTTGTTATGATGTGTTGAACCGCGAAAAGAGTAAGTGTAGATCTATTATTCATTTTATGTTCAATACGTTTTTGTATATGATATTTATTTTAATGAAACCATGGTTTTATTATCTTTCTTTTTATTTTTCCATGCATAGATAATTTTTATCAGACGAGAGAGAGAGAGAGAGAGAGAGAGAGAGAGAGAGAGAGAGAGAGAGAGAGAGAGAGAGAGAGAGAGAGAGAGAGAGAGAGTGTGTGTGTGTGTGTGTGTGTAAAAGAATGGCAGGAATACATTTTTGCGGTCTTTTGATGGAGTTTGTGATTTTAAATAAATCAGTATGCTTATCCGTTATAATCTCGTGTAAATAGTAATATGAGTCGCTATAGGTGTGTATTGGATTACCATGTCAAAGAATGTCAATACTTTATAGGTGTTTAGGGGAATTTTAACATGTGCGAGATACTATATATATCTACGGAAATTTAACATGGAAGGTAAACGGCAACATCCTTAGAAGTGGTTGACCTACATTGGTAAAAGTTTATACAGGCACAATACAGGAAGTCAAATATAAAAAATGTCCATATGCATAACACGTTGTATATACGAGAAATGAAGTACTAACATGTGAACTGTTATATACCGTTTCCATGTTGACAAAATGGGTTACGGGAAATGTAACTTTAAAATATTTGGATTTATATACGGTCCATTACTTATGTTGATATACTTTCAAATACACACAATATACTATCCAACACTTCGTCCGTAGCAACTAATAACCTGACACCTACTATTGAACGAAAAGGGTAGAAAATTAAAGAAAGGGAATAACATAAACACACGCTATCAAAAATAAACATGGGTAGGTGTGCTTATACAAAAGCAATATATTCAAAGACACTATCACATGTTCTAAGTGAATTCCAAGATTGTGTTGATAAAGAAGTTACACACGCTACTGTACGCAAAATATGGAATCTGATGATTGTCATCTCACATTGAATTGAATACATACAGCATTTCTTCTCAAAAAGTCAATGATGTCGTGTTTTAAATTTTCCACACTCTGGTCCTTGGCAAACTTATCGGCTACCCAGTGGGTTCCTGGTCGACGAATGTGATATATGTTGATGACATAAGCTTGAAAGTCTTCAAATTTTAGAGTTGGAAGTTCCGGTATATCAAGCACCACTTTATTCCAAAAGCTGTGTACGAACCTCGAGTTAGAAGATAATAGAGTTTCTAGGTATCCATTTGTTTTCTTTTTGTCAACGGTAATGATAAGTTATCAGTTCACAACTGACTTTTCCTCCAAAATGTGTCAGGTAAGCCGTGGTGCGAATAGTCTCCGTATTCTATGTTAAGAAAACTTCTTAGTAAGGAATGGTCATGTATGTCTTTATACCACTTTTTCAAAATCTTCTCTTCTACAATTTGACAACTATTACAAATTTCACACGCTAGGATTGTGATGTTTTAGCCAAGTCACAATAGAAGAATAAACGTTCTTCTTGTTATAGCCATCTTGATAATATGGTTATATTTTATTTCCTCTTTTCTTTAACTGTTGCTGTTGTGTTTCTGAATAGAAACATCACCTTCGCCTATTTCTATGCACTAGTGTTGCACACTTTTTTTTCTAATTGTCCAATATTACGTTTCTCAAACTGTTTATTTTCAGAGTATTGTCAAAATTCTGCATATAAGACGACATTCACTGGTCCGCTACAGCTACAACAAATTGATGTTCCCCACGAAGTT